GTTAAATTTCTCTGAAATATTTTGGTGAGTATTTTATCAACTTCTGCTTTTAAGGGATATAACTGAGTTCCCCATTCTGCTCGAGTATTAGACAAATTTCCTCTTAAAAAAAAAAAAACGATTAGATATTGATGTTAAATTCTTAGTTATCTTAGGAACATAATGCTGTTGTTGCAGAGAGGTAGGAGTAGTACTGCCAACAATTGAAAATTTTTCAAGATTTTTTATTTCAAATCATATTGGTAAAATATACCGTGTTCACATGTGCCCCCCTCTCCCTTATGTGCATTAATTTGCCAAAATAAAATGTAATAAACTATTCTTAAGTTATGAACCATATGAACCACATGTGGTATCAATACCACAGTAATGGAATAAAATAAATATCCATTTCATTCCTCATATTTGAAACAATACCTACTCTCACTTTACATCTAAAATTAGTGGTATACAAAAGGAAAATTACTACGCCGAACGATTAGTAATTTTCCGATACTTACGAATCAGAAAAATTACTAATCCGTTTCAAACTTAAAACTATACTGGTACTGCATAATTTGATGCAAAATAACGCTTAAGGAAAATACGTATTAGGCAATTAATATTTACTTTCAATAGAAAGCCTCAATAGTAAATTATTACGGGACAAATTTATCACCCGAGATGAGTAGCGAAAATTGACGAAACAGTTATCTATAATCTTGATATTTAGAATGATCAGTACATATTTGAGCGATGCTTTATAATATGTAGGGATTAGTTTAGAAAATTGCAAGACATATCATATGATTACAATGTGAGTGTAACTAATACAAAATGCCTATTTTGTAAACTAGAGACTTTAATATCTCTAAGGAATTGAGATCAATTACTAGTGTGAGCTTCTGCAACTACTACTTAGAATATGAAGTGTGTACAGAAGTAGAGAGATGCATAATTTAATTATGACTCTTGAAACGGGCTTAGAAGCGATTGCCCTAATGTAAGTTTGAACAGAGGCTAGAATTTATTAGTCACCTATAAAGGAATCACCGAACAAAGCAGCAGCTAAATTTATGAAACTAATCAAGTAAATCATATTAAATGCTCTTTCCTAACTACAAAAGCGCATTAAAACCCTTTTGTCTCTAATGTAGAAGGTACTTTATTTAATAAAAATCTCCACCTACCATCAAATACTCGATATTTTTAATTATTCTAAATACTCTTGTGGCTTTGGAATATGATTTTTCTCAAATCAATAATTCTTTTATCATGTTAACTATATCGTTCCGTATCAGATTATTTAAATAAATATTCTGCAGAAATATAATTATATTTAATATTTTGCATTAATTGTTAGAATCTTTAAACTTGTAAAGCTAATAATATATTGGTCATTTATATTCAGTTGCAGTTTAAATATATGTAAATTAGAGCGAAACATTTTTCAATAAAATAAATTTAAGTGGGTGAAATGTTTACTTCGTTATTTTATGAATGAAAAATTTTATGAGAATAATTACAATCAGAAATAGCGCATTTTATCAAGCAATAAAAACAAATGCATAAATTAATACCTCAAATAGGAAATGATAAATATTTAATTAGAACTAATTTATTTTGAAAGGAGAATAAGTTTTTTGTTCAACGAATAATCAGATGTGCCAATCTTTCATATATTACTATCCTGTAAAGATAACTACAGAGCAAACTCTATGATTAACATAATATAACGAGATAGTATTGTGTTAGAGTACGTGTTCTTAGAGCAATGTACAAACCTACTAGCTCAAAAATTGAGGTTTTTTTTTAAGCCACATTTTAGTTATACAACCGGTATCTTTCAAACAGAAAATTAATTCAAGTTATTTTTTGTTTGAAACATACCGTTTAAAGAAAAGTTTAAATAAGACATTTGCTGTTTAAAGCAAATAAGATTCATCTCAGAAAATAATGCTATAACAAAAAAGAAAAAAAAGAAGAAGATAAAGCAAAAAAGTATTGACCGTTTTAGTTCCCAATTAAGAATGGGTAAGCTCAAATAACTTGAAATTTGATAAACTCGATACTTAAGAGCATCTAAAGACAATGAAATGAAGAAAAAAAATTGAGTTAAATTCTACGATTTTTTTCGTTTATATTAGTACACTGAGAAAAAGAAAACTACCATAATTTGGTAAAATGTACAGTGTTTTTTCTAGCATTATGGAACAACAAAAGGAAATAAAACAATAAAATTAAAACTCAGAATTTCTGGTAAACTGTTATCATATGAACTGAAAATTTACGATTTAAATACCGCATATTTTGGGTTGATTAACAGAATCAAGTTTTTTCTTTCTTTTTTTTCTTCTTATTTTTTTTAGCCCGAAATGCCATTAGCATAGTATGCGATCATGTTAACAGAATTTTTTTCTCATTTTAACATTACCGTTAAACCTATAATATAGAATTCTTGATAAACTATTTTGAGTAAACTTGTTATGGAAAGTATTTTTATCCTAATAATGCATTTAAAATGCTAGAAAAATTATTGTGTCAATTTACTTTTTTACGGTAACTGAGTATCAGTTATGCGAAAAATAAATTTACGCTCCTTTTTTTATGGAAAACTAATTTTTTATTTATTTATTTATTTCAAAATAAATTTTTAGGAATTAGCAGAATCCTAGACTGTGTTTTCTATGAAGTGATGATATTTTACTTTTTTTAGCCTCAACTGAGCTATTTTGTTAATCACACAGACATAAAACAGACTACGTTATACTAGTGATGAATTTTTGGATTAAAGATTACATATAACGTTATATTTTGATGAAAAAATATACAAAACATTACCTGAAGGGAAACATGTCAACTGAGCTGAACTTTTATCCACATCAAGAATTTATAGTTAGAAATAAAAATTTTATAAAACTGCATTTCTTTCTTTTTTGAAAAAAAAAATTTCTAAAAAATATAAGTTTTAACCCACTAACGGTTCCACTCGTAAAATGGCGCATTTTAATCTGCAGTCTTCATCGCATAGCAAAACCCGTTTTTCCATGTACTTTGATGGAGAAAGAGTTTTTAGGGGAGAATATTCAATTTCTCTAAACTACAAGTGGTTAATGAAAAATAAGAATATTGAATTAATAACAAATGGATTGAAAAATTTAGGTTGCGTTTTGTGCCATTATTATGATAATTTGTCTTTTTGATTTTAAAAATAAATTTCTTTACTTTCGACCAGAAAAAAAAGACTAATTAGAAACAAAAGTTTTATTTTTTTAAACAAAAAATTACTTTAATATAAGGCTTCAAAATAGATTAAAAACTATTCTGTATTACATTGCATTCAATGTTTTGACTTTTTCACTCTGATAACTAACAGCCATTGAGTTTAAAGTAAATGGGAGGGCGTTCGATTTCTAAAGTGAACTGACAAAGAACTAGTCAAAATTTATAGATCAATGAATTTCCTCATTTAAGCCTACAGAGTTGATGATGAGTGTACTATTTAGACTATCATTCATTCATTCTTTCCCCTTCAATTTTTGGACAGAAAACAAGCATTGAAAACTTTAGATGTTTTATAATACATATACTTTAAATTCGAAATAATTTATCCAATTCATAATAATTAAATATGAATAGTATATAACATTAAATATGTATATTTGGATTAAAACATCAAAATTGACACGCTGTAATGTAAAACGATTTTGAAAAAAAAAATGTCCTTATTAGAAGTAAACACTGTTAGAACTTTTATTTAAAATTGTTGTAAGATAGCCAGCAAAAGACTTTCACTCTAATTAAACAGACAGTTTATGGCTAAGAACGTATTTTATCTTTACGGTTTTTAATCCGTTTAATACTTGCTTGGTTAACAATCCATGAATACAAAACTATATTGTTTTTTTTCTAAAACGTGAAAAAAAAAATTAACTGGACATTGGAGGCAGTTTAGTAACTTTATGCGTGAATGAGAGCATCGTATTCTAATAGCCCAGGGTCACAAATTTGGGAGGGCAGGAAACTGGATACTCTTCATGTGCTGAATCGGTCATGAGATTGACAAATCAGCCCGCTCGACTTCAGTGTTCCCGATGCAAGGAGCAAAGTGACTTCATTAGGTGGGCCTAGTTTTTGCTATAAAATTCTGGTTGCTTAACCGTATTAGGAGAAATTAGTTAATAAACGTTATTTTTCACAATTAACAGTTCGAATACCATCCAATTAATGGTTATTTAACTGTTTTGCTTGAATATAATAGAATAACAATGAAATAAATAGTTATTTAATTTTTTTTTCGAGGAACTTCTAACAGTAAAGAGAAAACACAACAATGAAGAAAAAATGAAATTTTTTGCTCAATGAAAATTTTTACAGATGTAGTCATAGTTTTTGACATAGTTATTGCTCTGGAAATTTTGACATAGTTGCCATGCATTCAGCATGTTTAGAAAAAAGTTCTGTCTTTTCTTTGTAAATTGATTTTCCGTCAATGGTGTTAGGTAGGCATGATGAAATGTAAAGTTTATTTTTGTTCAGGAATCTTCTGTTTCTATTACAGGTGAATGAGAAGTTGTGCTTTTAATAGTGAAAATAAATTTGATTAAGCTTATCAGTTGGGCCAGAACATTAATATCGTGTTCTCCAGGCGAATGTGTTCAGGCTAACAAGCAGCTTAAAAACAAATTATAAGTCAGTCTCACATCTCTGGCGAACTGATATTCAAAATGAAGGGAAACTGAGTTGTACGTAACAAAGCATTTAGACATTTAACATTACTAAACCATTGATAACAACAATTTTTGAAGATAAAAATTCAGAACTCTTAGCTCCAAATTAATAGATTTCCATTACCAATATGGCTAAAAGTAGTGGTAACATGCCTGCACATCGTTTGGTAATATTGTTTTAGTTTTAATTTGATATTATTTTTTCTGAATTCCAAAGATTTTTCTTAAATGCCCCACTAATATATAAATAGCTCAAGCATATAAATTTTAAAACTACATCTTTTCCCACAGTTCCACCAAAATTTTTGTCCATAAATGATTTACCCAATGGAAGTGAAATTGAAGTGAGAGAAGCTGAAAAAGTAGTTCTTTTATGTCAAGCCCTATCAAGTAAACCAGCTACTATTCTTAAGTGGTACCGAAAAAACAACGAGTTGATGCCAGGTAAGAGGCAATTACTTTATTCAATTGTATGTTATTTTAAAGTAACGCCCTTGTTTTAGTACCTTCTAATTTTATCTTTACAAACTATTATTTTTTGCTTATAATAATTTTATTATTTACCACAAAAATGGTCAACTTTGTTTCCACAAATTAGGTCTACGGTCACCTGCCATGCATATGAACCCGAGATAGATTAGACAAATATTACCACAATTACGAAAAAATTATGACAAGAAATTATTTTCAGACACATTTTCAATGAAAAAAATAATATATATATATACAACGGCTATTGG